GCAGTTTTGAGTCGAATCGAGCTCCGAGGTCACTCCCGAAAATTAGAATCGCGAATCGCTCAACAGGGTTGTGGCGGGAGTTGGAGGCTCTCACGCAAGAAAGAGACCGTAGTGACCGGTAGTGAACCGTATATCACAGCTTGTCTGGCGTGTTTCAGCAGAGCAGTGACATGGCGAAGTTTTCACTTCCAAATGCGATTCTGTGCTAGCGTTGGACCATTGAATGTTTTTAGATAAAATGCAGGGCAGACTAGAGCCGCATTGTCCAACAGTTTGCTGCGAAACCACAGCCCTTTCAAGCTTATCAAGCGAGCTAGGAGTGCAGTCGAAAGTTCAAAACTTTTTTGAATCGTTTTGGACCAGAAAATTAGATATTGGAGGTTACCATCGCGATTCAACTGGAAACTTGCGTCTGAGAAGCACAGGAAAAATACGCTGTGACCGAGTGAACGCGCTTCCAATGTTCCAATATTTGTTTTGGTGGTAAGAGTAAGAGTGTTCATGAAACAAATATGGTGTTGAATATTCAAGCCTGGTTGAAGACTGCACAAAAGCCAGGGAACTTTTTTGTAATGCATATATCGCACAACTTTGTTACTGAGAGGAAGCAAGTCTTCAAACAATTCCATCAATCCGTACACATAGTGTAAATCATACAATGTACGATATCACATGGAGGCGACCACCCTTACATGTCGTTGGAGCACGGACTGTTAAGCTGTCGGTTTCGGTTGCAACTGTGTTCAGCCCAAATCTCCAATCCAGGCCGTGAGCATGGTTTTTGCATCTGAGCATGCATTTGTCTGTCCTTAGACACCGATCGTGCATTTGATTGAAGGATGTTTTGAAGAAGTATGACTCAGAGGCACGTGCGAACATGCCATGGGGTTCATGAAAACATGAGAAGAGTTGTAGTTGCCTGCGTGACAGATGTGAAAACCACATTGTTTGTGCAACATCATGTGAGATGGGGCCTACATCCAAGATCCTGGCTCCGCAAGATTCTTGGTTTTCTGGAACTTCGGGGGGTTGATGTGGGGAAGCCAATGACAAACGCTTTCGTTTTTGTTGATCCCCGAGGGGGCACCATGCATGTCAGTGCTGTGTCGTGAGGTGTTTGGTACAATCAGAAATGTTTTCGTCATTTCACGAACCGACATTTCAACTCAGAAGTTCAGCTTTGTGCAAACAGTTTCGACATCATGTGGTAGATGTCCAGCACGGACAGTCGCCTTCAGTCACCTGCCCGAACGATCTGATGAGCCATGGCCTTATGTCCGCAGAGTTCGACTGCACACACGTATTGCCAAACGAGTTTGAAGATTGATAAGAACCGATTTTTCAGTTGGGAATTTGGAGCCCGGCCGAGGATCCACGGCTTTACGTGTGGACGGTGTGACTCAGTCGAAATGTTATTTCGTCTGATGCACGCATCTTGCTTTTTTCAATGACAGAAAGGTTCAAACCACGAGCTGGGGCGATGAGGCCCTGAGCAAGTGTTCCTCAGCTGATGCTGGACGCACGGAGATGTTGAGCTCTTGCCTGTCTTTGGCTTCGTAGCAACTCGTAGACACGTCTTTTGTGCACTCAGCCAAGGTAAGCATTGGGTTGTTTTGGAGCCACTCGTGTATCTCATGCCCAAAGCTGATCCAAAGCAGACTGCCAAGGCCCATCCCTTGCTTGTAAAAAATTTCACACAACTTGTCGCCGGCGAGGACAAGCTCGGACAGAAAGGTCAGGGTGAGATTCTGGAAGGTGATGGACTTCGAATAGAAGGCCGTTGATGTTCAGCTCGCCAAAAGGCACAGGCAGTTTCTTCATTTCTGAACATTCCGCAGGCATTCGATGGCTCCGCATCAGGCAAGATAGTGTTGAAGCGCGTCTCTCAGTCCGAAGGATGTGTGACAGATGTTGCAGAATCTGTGAATTTCGGGCAAGCGCTTGTCGTGCGGAATAAAGACTTCAATTATGCTTTCGTCACGCACACTTATTGAGTCGACTGTGTAGATCAACTTGCATCATCACCTGAAGTGAGTAGGGTTACGTATTCTGTTTCAAAATGCACAAGTTGTTGATTCTTACTGCTTCCAGGCGTGGGTGCTGATTGACGGCAAGGCGGTCGGTGCTGACCGATGCTTCTTGGAGCCTGTGCCGGGCTGAAAATGAAGATAACCGCGAACTGCACATGAAAGAATGAATATCACTACCACAGTATTCTTTCAGCGTCCTGTCAAGTCTGCCTGTGCAGCTTGTTGGTTCCAAGCTGTACATTCTTGCTCCAGCTACTAATATGACCGACGCAAACATGTACTGCAGGCAACAGTCGTATTAGCATCATCAAGCTGTTAAAGTTTCGACAGCTGATCCATGACCGGACAAAGGGTCGAAACATGCAAGCGGACATTCTGGAGGCGGGGGACATCCGTCATTCATGCAGCCAGTGCGTCGTGAGTCCCGCCGTCCTGTTTGTGAGGTGTTGTGTGCTAGCACTGTTGCATGCCACCACCGTGGCCAACGCAGAGGCATTCAGCACGCGAATATCGATGAGACTGAAAATGGCTCCTCTGAGCTTATGAGGTTGCTGGCCGATCCAGGGAAATCCGCGACGAAATGAACAATGTGATTGGTGTTGAGATGGACTACGGCGAAGCCGACGAAGTCGAGGTTGCAGAACTTCCAAACACTCGATGAACAGTTATTTTTCTTGGCTTCCAGGGCCGGCGACTGGAAGAGATCTGTTCCAGCCGGAGTCTTGACTGGGCAAGAGAACAGACACTGCTACTTCTGTAGACCCCGGTGCAAGGCGTGAAGCCTGATACCTGGTTTTGCTCCGGCACAATGCAAACTCTGTGGGCTCCTCAATCGGCAACCGGGGTCTGCTGGCACATCTGCATTTGTCAGGTGTTGCTACAGTCACAGTGTTCTTCGCCCTTGCAGACGTGTGCACTGCGGCGAGCTCCTGCACGGGCTGAAAGCTAATAGCTTGTTTCGGTCCGGTCGAACACGTGAGGAACATGGTGTGATTTGGAGTGCCTGTCACAGAGCCTGTGTCACGTTAAGATGCATGGAGTTGCTCGCCTCCTGCCCGCTGCCAGTCTATGGGTGCACGCGGGGGATATGTATCCGATCGCATGGCCCTAAGCCGATGTCCATGTTCACTAGGTCTCGAGGCTTCAGCAGTCGAGGTTACCTGTGCTCGTGACTGACGGAAAGCGACCCAGGCACAGCTAGCTTGCAACTTGCGCGAGTGAGGCAAGTGTTTCACCTAAGGACCACCTTGCCAGAGAGAGAAAGAAAAATTGCAGGGATTCCAGGAAGTAATTCCCACTGAAGGATGTATGCCTTTCCGAATTTTTCAACGGCCTGCACAGCCTACACATCGCCTCTTCTGAGTCTTGGATGCCAAGCTTTGGAACGTGGCAGCTCTCTGAGCCTTGGGCCCTTAACACGTTTGTGTCGAAGCCTTGTGGGCTCAACATTTCGAGAAGATTGTACAAGCAATTGTCGACAGGCTGCATCCGCCCGAGCCTACCTCGATGATTCTGTATAAAGGTCGGAATATTGAACTAGTCGTTTGCAGCCTGCAAAGCCGATCAGACCTGCCATGGAGGTTGGGAGCCATCACGCTGGTCTCGTGCTCATCAAAGCACTTATGCGTGAGCAGGAACCGCTTCTGAAGCTGGCTCTGCACGACGTAACAGCCGCGTGGCCATGCTCAGCAAGTGGGCAAGGATAGCCAGAAGCTGGCAAGCTCTGTTGACAGAATTATCTTTTTCTTGAGGTTTTTGGTGCTACGGCTTCTACCTCCCCGGGTCTTAGTCCCGGCTTGCTGAGGCTGTTTTAAACGTGATCTACATGAATCCCTGGTGCTTGCTAGACCTGGTGGCAGCTGCGTGCTCTGTCGGCTGAGTGGAGGCAGCTTCTTGATGCCGGTGTCTCTGTTGATCTCAGTCTATGCAACTACTACGACAACTGCTCACCTCACATAGAGGATTTGCCCGCTGAGGATCATGCTGAAAGCTGTACTGACAGGTGTGGTGCGCTCGATGTGTAGAAATTGCTCATGAACTCTGTTTGGCTTTGCTGCGATTTTCTGCAGCTTGTGCCATCAGCTTCAGACATTCGCTGGCAGCTTCAAACCTTTGCAGGTCAACAAGATCACAAATGTTTGGTGCCTGCGTCTTACATCCGAACTAAACTCTGTTCATCCCCTTGAGCCCTGAGTCACTGAGGAGATGGGGCGCGGCTGCTTGGGCTTAGTTAAGCTACTCGTGGAGGCCTCACCGGGTCTGGTCTCGGGCCCCGCTCGTGTCCCGGTTCGAGGTACAAGCAGGTAACAAGGATTACCAAGGGTATCTCGATGCCGTGAGAGCAAACTGTGGAATGTAAAGCAGCTGTCGTGCTGTCATGCGGGTCTTGAGAATCAGGGAATTGAGAGGTGCAAGTAAGGGACCTTGTGTATTTCGAACTGGGAGCCATCGTCCCTTCCAGTTACATGAGAGGCCTCGGGGCCGTTACGGACTGCCAATGAAGAGGTGGACTTTGCAGGCATGTTCGGGCTGTGCTTGTGCTTTCCGAATTGGATTGTCCAGAACAGCATCAGGTTGTATCTACAGGGCTGTGCACTATGGCAGCGTGGGTCCGGGGCCATGTTGGAGGGTTGATGTTCGAAGTGATGGGTACCAAGTGGCTTAGGTCCGCTACAACAGCTGCTTCGACCTCTCGCAGCCGAGTCTTTCGCCGGAGCCGCAGTCCTAATATGACACCGGAGTCGCGCGGAACATTCTGGACCAAGGCACGTCGGACCTTCGCCGTCGCTGTTCTTCGTGAGGCATCGGCCATCGCGAGGCTGTGCGCTTATGACGAGCAGACTTGTATCTTGATTTGTTGGAGGCTCTGGTGCAAGCGGCAGTTGCAGGCATATGGAGCATTCAGCAAGAATTGCAGTTGGCAGTGCCACCGAAGCCAGGTGATGCAGCAGCGTGCCGTGCGGTATTGCAGGAACACGGCCAGCTTCCTAGGTCCCCGGCGTCCTAGCCGTGGGCGGGACAAGTTGCAACTCTTGGCTCCGAGGCCCAAACTCAGCCGCTGCACTCTCGCGAAGATTGGGCACCGATGATGCTCTCACAGCACTAAAGGCGAGTCTCTGCTTCTTTCTGCAATTTGACGAGTTCCACCCGAGAGGCCGCTTCTGATTGGCATCTCATGAGTGCCTTGGCACAGCGTTGCAGCTCATATGGAGCTTTAGAAGCCTTACAACAAGAGAGCGAGGGTTCGTCTCCGCACACCAGTGGCCAAGGTCCCGGTGAGGTCTCAGAGCTGAGGCGCCAGGCAGTGGATGAGGTCGGAAGTGTCTGCCAAGATAATTTCGAGCTGAACTTCTCGAGTACTTCGTCACAGCAAAGTGGTCGCAGAGAGTTTCGCTTCTTTTGCTATTGCGGCGGGGTCCATTGGATGTACACGACCTCATCAGGGTGTAGACTGGCTCAAGGGTAAGGCTTTCATGTAGTCGCCATGAATGGCCCTTGCTGCTCCAAAACCCGACCCCAACAAGCAAGGGCAAGGACCCTGCATTCAAGCCTCCGGTGCACTGGATTCTGCGATTCTACGACCTCCTCCCACCGACTCAATCCCGAACTGCACATAGCCAGTCAAGGAACCACTGTACTTCATACTCGCCAGCTTGCAGGTGCTGAAAGCGGTGTTCTGAAGGCTTGCGACGACTTGTTGGCTCATGAGTCGTGCAGTCAAGACAGCTGGTGCCACAGCTGGAGAGAGTGGATGCAGGCAGTACCAAGGTTTGTCTGCAGGTTTCACATTACAAGATCGACCAAGCTGTTCAGCTAGAGCCAACGATTGTCACCAATCAGCTGATACAGCTTCGTTGATGATGCTGCATGATCGTTTTAGATGGCCTGTGCTGCGTGGGTATGTAGATGAACAAAGCCTGAAGCCAATCAGCACAGACCACGGTCAATGTCCATACTGCCATTCGCAATTCAGCTCGAAGCGTGGATGCCTCCATACGTTGCAAGTGCCGAGGCCTACCGGCCATACAGGACAAGTCAACTTCGGCAAGAAATGCTAGCAGCCTCCAGACAACCTGCCCACATCAAAGATCGAGCTGACAACGGCCGGTTGGTGCATCCGTGTCGAGCTGCGCTTACTCGAGCCAAACTCAGAAAACACCTCAGGCAAGGGAAGTAAATTAAGTCCATAACTTAAGCCGTGATGGAAGCTTTGACGCGATGGATTGTCTAGAGGAAATGCAAAGACTTGCAGATTCCATTCCGATAGCAAAGGCTGAAGATTCCAGAAATCACGGATATTTTTAGCTATCCCATGCCATGATTTGGGCAGTATCTGGCATCATGGCATAAGAAGTTCACGCGGGTGAGAATTCTTTGCGTCTTTTCTTTTGTCTACCTGGCATAAAGCAAGATTCGAGCATTGGGCGCGATTCGAGTTCAAGCACCACTGTCTACTTTCAGTTTTCCATAGGTTTCTCGCATGAGGCAAATTCTGCTGCCATCTGCGGGGGACCTCCGCCATGGCTACGGGTGTCTCGACCGAGATGCAAGCCGAGGCAGGAGTCATCCAGTGAGCCCACCATCCTTGCCTTGCTTCATTTTTAGAGCACGCATTTCCAGCACTTTCTTCCCCAGGAGATCAAGGCCTTGGAAATGCCTGCGCAACGCATCCTTCCGCAGAGAGTGCTTGATGGAGATTGGCTAAGCCATGAGCTTCCGAAACTACACAAAGATTTTTATTTGAACCATCCTGATCCCGCCCTGCGCTGCGAGCAGTTCTGCTGGGGAAACCTTGAAGAAGCACACCCTGTGCTTGGGCGACGGACACAGAATGAGGCTGCAGAATATCGAAAGTCTCGGGGCATTGTTGTGACCAGCGTCCGCGGACGGCCTGCACCAAAGCCTTTTCAGACCTTCCAGGAGACAAGTTTCCCGTCTTTTGTAGAAGAATTGGCAATGGAGCTGTTTTCAAGCGAGGCACTGCCCTTTTCCGTGCAGGCACAAGCGTGGCCATGTGCATTGGCCGGGGCAGACGTCATTGCTGTGGCACCAACTGGATCGGGGAAGACGTTAGCCTTCTTGCTGCCTGCCCTGGTGCACATCATGGCCCAACCTGTGTTAACGGTTGGCGAGGGTCCGATTGCCCTCTTCCTGGAGCCCACTCGCGAGCTCGCGGTTCAAACGCACGATGTGGCACAGCAGTTCTGCAGTCGGACCAAAGGTGAGGACTTGCTCCGTGCGGGTGTGATCTATGGAGGTCAGGCGGTAGAGCTTCAGACTCCACTGGAGGGTACTCCGGACTTTGGCAGATGGCCGGAGATTTTAGTTGCGACTCCGGGTAGGCTATGGGAGCTCATGACCAAGAAATGTTGGATCAGCGCCAAACGCATAAGTTATGTTGTTTTGGATGAAGCGGACCACATGCTTGCAACTGGAACATGGCTGATTCACATACAGGAGCTGCTTCGGCTGCTACGCAAGGACCGACAGCTTCTTCTCTTCTCGGCCACGCTGCCGGTTGAAGCCGAACGGGCAGCGCTTGACATTTGTGGCGATGAGCTGTTCAAGATTCAGGTCAACCCTAAAATCCCTAGCATCTCCCAGGAGGTGAAGCTTTTCCCGGGTGCATATGATGGTGGCCATGAGGCGAAGATGGCAGAGCTTCGGCGATGGATTCGGGAGGACTTGAAAGATGAGCAGTCGTTGTTGATATTGTGTCACAGATCACAAATTGGCTATGTTGCCTCTGATTCGAAGCTTCGAGATGCCGTTGCAAGCGTGAGCCCGGATGGAATACGTGCAACTGCGGTTCTTGACCATCAGAATCAGCAAAGGCACGAATCGCAGCAGTCTCCCTACAAAGACTTCGTGAGAAAAGCAACGCGGGCTCTGATTTCAACTTTCTCCTTGGCTGGAAGAGGTCTGGACTTCCACGACACTGGCTCGTACTCGCAGTTGTCGCTTGCTGTGGTGCTTTTCGATTTCCCTGCGAACATGGGAGAATACGCAAACTGCATTGGCCGCACATCCCGTCCTGGACAGAAGGAAGGAAGGGTGTATGCATTTCTGCCAGAAGGCCGCTTCTGGATCGCTGGAGAACTGATTCAGTTGCTAGAGCATTGTGGACAGCAGGTGCCCCGAGAGCTGCAAGATTTGTACAGCCAGGATACAGCCTTCATGGCGGAGGTGAAGGCTGCCATGCAGCAGCTTCTTGCCGGAGAACTTAGCCCAGAGTCGCTTCCACAAGACCAAGGAACATACGATCCAGCCTCTCAGGTATGGACTTTGCCAGCCAGCATCCCGTCATATCGACGAAAACTTATTCACACACTGGCTGACGAGCTTAGCTTGCCTCATGTTTCTTATGGTGCTAATCGGGACCGAAAACTCTGCATGGCCAAAGATCGAAAGGCCCTGCCTGAGAAGTACTTCGTCGAGGGTGAGGCAGTCATAGTGGTGGGACGCAACGGACACATGGACCGTGGAAGAGTCAAGGATCCTCGCGTCAGATTTCGGAACATCACAGTCTGCTTTGACGACACGAAATTCTTCGGTGAGTATCCCCTTGATGTCCGAGCCGACGATGCCTGGCCAGAGGGCGAGGAGCCAAGTGGCCGTGACAGGCAAGACAGGCACGGGTATCTTGGACGGCGGACCTATGCAGCATATCAGAGGTATCGCTAGGAGCATGTCTGGAAACTCGAGAGTTGCCAAGTTCAGGACATTCTGCGGTTGCGCTTGCACAATGCGGCAATAGGAACTGTGCGGCCCAAAGTTTGGACTCTGCGTGGCCCCCACGCTCTTGGAGAACAGCAGCATGACCTGCCATGGCCACATCCAGTCTCCACCTGAATGGAGTTATGCTGAAAGCAATCCGAGTCGCATCCTGTGAGTTGAGCTGGTCTCAAATGAACCAAGTCCCTAACAGGCCTTTGCAGCGATCACGACGTGTTGATTCTTGCAGTTTCTTCCATCTCAACACGATCTGACACACCGCTTCTGCGGGCCCATCACCCCTAGCTGCTGCTGCATTTCCCTGTCCAACTACCCTCCGGACTCCATCCGTGGCTGTTCCTAAGCTTACCCATAACTTATCCACCCCAAACATGCTAAGCTAAGGATAAGCCAAAAAAACCCGGTCGACACTCCACCCCTCCACTTTATGACAGTGGCTCCAGGGAAATGGATGCTCACACGTCGAAAAACATAAGCCTGCGTTGAGCAAGCCCTTGGATCTCTGCAGTCCCAGATACTCCCAGACTGCGGCTGTGAGGTGTTAAGCTGTAAGTGCTCAGGCCTGACCCCTGCCATCCCCCTGCCATGCATGGCTAGAGCATCAGACATGCGATTCTGCCATGGGAAGATGGGATGTAGTTGGCAGCCTAGGCCTAGGCAGATTCGCACCTTGTGAGTTGGTCAAGCTTTCTTTGAAGGCTTCGTTGTGGCTCCCGGCCTAGGTGCTTCCATTCCTGGCTCCCGGACGCGGGGCGGTTCCGTCAGGAAGGGGATGAGACACAACTGAGTGAAGGAAGCAGAACACTGACGCTGGAGGTAGCCGCCGCACCAGAGTGGAAGAGTCGCATGATGCTTACACTCACTTGGGTTCGCATAGTCTTGTGACCTGATCAAAGTGGGCGCCAGCATCGTCCTGGAGACGAGTTGTCGATTGACAGTAAGAGTTTCTAACATGCACATCGGGTGCTCCATGCTGTGCTGAAGCACACTGGAAGCGATCAGCAAATCACCGAGAAGCAGGAAAACCTTGAAGCAATCCAAGGTGACTGCGGAAGCATCCCAAAACCTGGCGAACAGGCCAAGTGCCACTTCGTTGCAACAGGCCAGAATACGAAGTCTGTCACAAAGAAACAAAGGGACGCACACAGCAAGGATGCAGCAAGGTATGCCGGCTTGCATGGCAACGAGTTTTCGTTCAATTGGCGGGAAAGAAGTATTCGTTGTCCCTGCTTTCCTGCCTTCCTTGCTCTCTGTCAAGCCAAGTGCTCGGTGTCGGATGGGCTTGGACACTTCGAGGTCTTTGGCCTTGGTTTCGGAAGAGTGAAGCACAGCATGTTCGTGCATGCATTCCACACCGGAGTTCGACCTGATTGGTGCACGGTTGCCCGTGTTTTTAGTAGATTCTGGGACCGTGCTCGCAAAACCCGACCAGTCCTGCAGTCCGGCATAAGCTGATTCAGTCATGCAGCTACGCTTTCATGTGGCAGGTAGAGCTTATGTTGCTGAGGCCAAGATCGTACTCACCGAGTTCGTCATCGGGCTCTGCCTTGCCAAGAGTGATCTACTGAGAAACCGCCTGATATCTTGCTCAATATAATAGTGGAACTGATCATTTGAGCCGCTGGCGCGAGAGCCGCGAGAGCCGCGAGAGCCGCCTCCGGTGAGGCCCGGCGTCGTTTTTCAGTGTGGCACCGGCAGAAAAAGGTGGGCAAAGGAGGGGCGAAGGAGGGAAGCAGGAGCAAGAGGGGAAAGGAAGAAGCCGGGAGGAATGGGGTCGGAGGGCTGGTGGGGAGGGGGTTATTGGAAGGGAGTGCCAATTAATCGTCGCATTCAGCGACCACGTTGTAAAACCCGAGCCCAAACTCCTGGGGGGACTTATGACGGAACTGTGAATATGACAGGACCTCCTACAGGACCCTTCAACATGGAAAGAAAGTGGAAACCAACACCTCTCAAAATGCTGGTGACGGGAGGGTCATACCACTATTGACTATTGCATGGTTCTCTGAAAGCAGACCAAGACACTCCCGGCCTCCGGTCTCGGCGGATTTTCAAATTGCCATATGCAGACTGACGATGATTCGGAACTCCCGAACGTGGAGGACTGTCAAGGGCTACCCGTCTGTTTCTGATGCCAGGGTTGAAGAGGTTGGATGTTGTTGGGGTGCTGCCAGGACATCTATGATTTGCTGACCTCAGACCTGGCAGATGTGGAAGATAGGCCGTTTCCCCAGGGAGCCTCAAAACGTCCTGTGCCTGGAGCTGTGCAATCCTGTCTCAGGCTTCGGAGGAAATCCAGCAATACTGCTTTGACTGCAAAGGAGGCTTCCACGGACCTATGTGCATAGTCGGACATGCAGCTCTGCAAGCAGTGGTGCCATCAGGAGAAGCTGCACAACTTGGTCCGGGTGGAGCTAGGCAGAGATGCGCAGTCACGTCGGATTTTTCAACGGCAAGAATCAAGAAGCTTCGCTGCTCAGGTGAGCGGCGCAGTGTGGAGGAGATTGGCTTGGCACTGATTGGTGGGCGCTTCGACCTGGCAAATGTGCCAGGCAATTCCGAGACTCAGCAGGACGGGTTTCCGTTTCCCCTTATTGGCAAATCCGCATTGCAGGTCTGGACGGCAGGCGGGGGCTGACTCTGGCTTGGCGAAGCAATCCGAGCTCTTCTGTTCGCAGATCACGTCGAGCATCACCCGTCCAGGAAGGTGCAGAGGCGGACAGAAAACTGGAGTTGCATGCAAGGAGCAGCAGGAAGAGTGTCGATTAGAGGCTGGAGCCCTCCTGCAGCGAGGACCCCAATCAAAGACAGAAACTAGTTACTTGCGTTATGGACATGAAAGCCCGACATGAGTAATGAGATGTAATGAGTCATGTGAGGCATGTTTCAACAGTTCAAGGTCGCAGGATCTTCTCAACCACTGTTGTTTCAGGTTCTCAGTTCGTCAAGCACGGGACAGCCATCACATAATCGGTTCACTTGGAAGCACGACCGAACGCTGCTGTGGGTGCCGCTGGGATGAAATGAAATCGTTTTGAAACGCCGTACTTCGCGGCGAGGTGGCCCTGCAAGAGCTCCCGAATCCAGTTGAGAACTTAACGTGCCTTTGTACCAGTGCCGCAAATTGGCAGCCGCTGACTGACGAAGCTGCGGAGCGTTGCCGGTGCTTCCCACAAAAGGCAAGATGTCGCGCAGAGACAGAGGAAGAAAGTACCACATCTGCTGCTACCTCGGCAAGATGTGTGCAGCCGTACAAATTCAAGCCGCGAATTAGTCGCGACATCCAGGCTCTTGTCTGAGATGTAAAGATGCCACGAAGACGGAAGCGCAAGCACATGCACGAGACCCCGTCTCTAGCTGGCGTGCCACCAAAGTGAGACAAGCGCGCACCAGTTTCGAGTCATTCGGTTGACGGGGCTGGAAAATCTGACAGAGGAGTTGATGCAAGCATAAGTCGGGCAGCACTTGGCGCGCAAGGGTGTCGCTGCATGCCTTCCGAGATGTCGGGTGTTAGATGGGGGGAAGCAGTGGACCTGCTCGGTGGAAGCTAGCGCCGACTTATGACCTTCCTTCGTGCTGCTGCACGGGATTTAACATTGCTATACTTTGGAGCTTGAGAAACAGAAGATGTCTCGTTCTTCGACGTCGGTAGGGTGTTGGAGGCAAGAGCTGCAGGTTTGGACTTTGCCAGATGCGAAATCTCCTTCATCATCATCTTCCAGGTCGGCATACGATGAACACAACGGCTGATTCGTGTGTTTTTGCTGTTATGTCGGCAGGTCGACTTTGTCGATGAAGGTCGCGTCTCCACTGCCGCCGTCTTGGTGTCCCTCTCTAGTTGCTTCACCTGGCACCACTGCCTTCTTGCAGATTGAAGGCCCGACGCAAGCCTTGATTTACGCTGAGCTCTTAGCTTTGCCTCTGTTGGGGGATCATCTGCGGCATCGTGGGAGATGCCACGTCACTTTCCAGGTCAGCGGTTTCCACCGAGGTTGGCACGGTCCTGGACTACAATATGCTTTTGCGTAAACAGCATGGTCTGAGGTTGAGCATGGCTGCCGCGCAGCAGGCATCCCCATCTCGGCCGCATCCTCAAAATCGCGTGGTTGACACATATTGACACTGCATGGCAGGTCATGTTCCGATCGCTGTTCATGTTCCCTTGTCTGAGTACCCCTGGATTCGCATCTAAGCCGTTGTTGCACGCTGTCCCTGTGGCCGTCATAAGTCAGTGAGTTCGTTTAGACTTTCCGTAGTGATCAGCAATCAGACCTGTGTTCCGCCGCACAAGCTGTGTAGCCGATGTCACCAATTCCTATCATGCTATTACGCTGCAAGGGATTTGTGAGTTGCAGAGTCCTCGGTTGGCAAGCTTGGTGCTCTTGAGCTGCACAAACTGCAAACTGAAACTGCGGCAGCCCGAACATGCCCTTAAACGCCCCGGCAGGCCGCAATTTGCAAAAGCTTGCGCAAAAGCCTTTTCATGAGGGACACCTTCACACAAGCGAGGTTTCGGAGCTGGGCGTCCCTGCAAAGAGGGGCCTTGCAGACAAGCGGCGCCAACCCATGGCAAGCAAATCAACGTGAGCACGGCAGCTCAGCCCTCCAAGCAACATGACCGGAACGCTTTGGGCATGCCGCGGTGGTGTAAGATGTTCTGTTGTTAGTTTTTCTTCAGTGGGATCTGCTCAGAACTTTTTGGAACCCGCTTTGCAGCTGTCCGACTCTGTCCTTGCAGGCCCTCGCAGGCATTCAAGCCAACACCTGTCAACTTTGATTTCGTGATCGGCACAAGCTCGGTCAAAAAGAAGGTCAACTTCTCAGCTCCATATGATCCTCTGGAGAAGGTAGTTCACTTATTGACCTGCAGCCTGCTGCCAATGCTAAAGAAAGTGCCCAGGCACCAAAGCGCAAACCGAAAGAGCAGAAAGAGCTCAAGGAATGCAACGATCCTCAGAGAAAGCGGTCGCCTTAGTTCAGCACTTGTAGTATCTCGCAGTCGTTCAATGGGTTGCTTCCCTACTTCTCGTGCCTCCATGGCCTTCAACTCGATACATCCGGGTGCATCTCTCTTCCATATCCTTTGTGGCTTTCTTTGCACCCCCAGGACTCGTGAAGCATGTATACGTTGGATGTGACATGACCATCATGACCATGGCTTCTCATTCGATGTGAAGCTTGCAGGGCCGCGCCAAAGAAGCGCGTTCCCTCCTCAGCTCCTGAGCGCACACCTTCCTGTCTCAGAGAGCGAGAGAGAGAGAGTGCACAGAAGTCGCCACAGCGACCGCCCACGGCGCCAGGAAGCCTTGGGCCCGAAAGCGCCAAAAGGCACCTGCACATGCGCACTGTATGCGACAACATGAAGATGACTTGCTTCAGGTTTACCGCGACCAAGGCAAG